TGGTAACCACAAAGCAAAAATCTATGACAAAGAAAAAGGAATCAGCCCATACCACTATGAAAAATCATCAAATCACAAAGGAAGAGAGCAAGAGAGGAAAAAGAGACTATAAAAGAGCCAGAAAACAATTAACAAGATGGCAATCAACAAGTCCTTACAAAATTCTCCAATCAAGACACACACCGGATGACCAGATAAGCAAAACAAGACTCAATTATATATTGCCTACAAGAGATGCACTTCAGCTCTAAGGACACAAATAAACTGAAAGTAAAGGAATCCAAAAAATTATTCCATGCAAAGAAAAATCAAGAGAGTAGCTTATACTTATAAGACTTTAACTCAAAAGGTGTCATAGAACACAAAGAACATCACTGTATAATGATACAGGAGTCAATTCATCTAGAGGATATAATAATCGTAAGTGTATACGCACCCAACATCAGAGGACTTAAATTTATTAAGCAAGTATTAACATATGAGAAGGTAGAAAAGACAGCAACAATATACTAATAGCAGACTTCAATATGCATCTTTCCAGAACGGGTAGATCATCCAGATAGAAAATCAATAAGGAAATATTTCACTTAACTACACTCAGACCAAATGGACCTAACAAACATACAGAACATTCCATCCAACTACAGCAGAATACACACTCTTCTCAAGTGGACACAGAACATTCTCCAGGACAGATCATATGTTAGGTGACAAGTCTGAACAGATTTAATAAGACTGAAATCATATCAAGAATCTTATCTGACTACAAACGTTTGAAACTAGAAATCAGTAACAGGACGAAAGCTATGAAGTTTATGAATATGTGGACATTAAAAGAAACACTCCTGAACAATCAGTGGGATAAAGAAAAAAATCAAAATTTAAAATAAAATTATCCTGTGACAAACGAAAATGGAAAGAAAATAGGCTAAAACTTACGAAAAGCAGTAAAAGCAGTTCTAACAGTCAAGTTTATGGCAATTAATGCCTACTTTAAGGAAAAAGAAAAATCTCAAATAAACAACCTAACTTTACACCACAAGGAACTAGAAAAAGAACTAGGACCAAATTTGGGGGAAGAAAGGAAAAGAACAAGATGAGAGTGGAAACAAAAGAAATACAGATTAGAAAAACAATAGAAAACAGCAACAAAGCTAAGAGTTGTTTTTCGAAAAGAAACAAAATCGAAAAACTTTTAGCCAGACTAACTCAGAAAAGAGAGAAGACCCAAATAAATAAAATCAGAACTGAAACAGGAGACATTATAAAACTGATAGTGCAGAAACACAAACATCTTAAGAGGCTACTACGAACTCGATTAACCAGAAGAAATGGAAAAATTCCTAGAAACATAGAATCTATTGAGACTGAATCATAAAGAAACACAAAATCTGAATAGACCAATAATGACTAAGGATATCGAATCATCAATTAAAAATTGCCCAAAAATTGCCAATAAGCGGCTGGCCCCGTTGCTTGGCGGTTGAGTTCGCGCACTCCAGCCCAGGGTTTGGAGCCCAGACGCGCACTGCCTCACTGCTTGTCGGGCCATGCTGAGGTGGCGCCCACATACAGCCAACTAGTAGGATGTGCAATTATAACATACAACTATCTACTGGGGCTTTGGGAAGAAAAAAGGGGAAAAAAAGGAAGAGGATTGGCAATAGATGTTAGCTCAGGCCCGGTCTTCCTCAGGGGGAAAAAAAAATGCCCAACAAAGAAAAGCCCAGGACCAGATAGATTCATTGGTCAATTCTACCAGAGATTTTAAGGAGAATTAATGTCAATCCTTCCTCAGCTCTTCCAAAACACTGAAGAGGAAGGAAAATGTCCAAACTCAATTTACGAGGCCAGCACTACCCTGATAGCAAAGCAAGATAAAGAAACTAAAAGAAAATTAAATTACGGGCCAATATCCTTACTGAACATAGAAGGAAAAATATTCAAAAAAATACTAGCAAACGAAATTCAACAGCATGTTTGAAGAATCTCACACTATGATCAAGTGTGATTTATCCCTGGGATGCAAGGATACTCCATCATATGCAAATCAATAAACGCAAAACACCATGTTAACAGAATGAAGGATAAAAATCACACAATCGTTCAACAGATGCAGAAAAAGCACTTAACAAATTTGAGCACACTTTCATGTTAAAAACTCTCAACAAATTAGGTATAGAAGAAATGTACCTCAACATAATAAAGGCTATATACCATAAGCCCACACAACCATCATACTGAACAGTTGAAAGCTAAAAGCTCTTCCTCTAAAAGCAGGAACAAGACGAGGATGCCCACTCTCCTCACTTCTACTTAATATACTTCTCGAAGGCACAGCCAGAACACTTAGGCAAGAAAAAGAAACAAAAGGCATCAAAATCACAAAAGAGGAAGTAAAACTGTCTGTGTTTGCACAAGACATGATATTATAGATAGAAAACTCTAGACGTCACGAAAAAACACTCACAACTAGGAAACAAATTCAGGAAAGTTGCAGGATACAAAATCAACATACAAAAATCAGTTGTGTTTCTATACACTCACAGTGAAATATGTGAATGAGAAATTAAGAGAGCCGTCGCATTGACAATATCATCAAAAACAACTAAATACATATGAATAAATTTAACCAAGGAGGTGAAAGATCTAGAGTCTGAAAACTATATGACACTGAAGAAAGAAAATGAAGACACAAATAGATGGAAAGATATCCTATGTTCTTGGATTGAAAGAATTAATACTGTTAAAATGCCCATATTCCCCAATGTGACGTACAGAATCAATGGAATTTCTCACACAAACAGCAAAGGAATCCAAAAATGTGTATGGAACCACAAATGATCTTAAACAGACAAAGCCATCTTGAGTAAGATCAAAGCTACAGGTATCACACTTCTTGATTTCAAACTTCATTAGGAAGCTATAGTAATCCAAACAGTTTGGTACTGGCATAAAAACACACACACAGAGGAAAGAAACAAAATATAGAACCCAGAAAAAGATCCCAGCCGTATATGGGGAACTAATCTTTGACAGGGGTGCCAAGACCAAACAATGGAGAAAGGACAGTCTCTTCAATAAATGATGTCAGGTAAACTGGATATTCACATGCAAAAAAGATGAAATTGGAGCCCTATCTTCCAACACTAACAACAATGAACTAGAAATGGATTCAAGAGTTATATGTAAAACATGAAAATGTGAGACCCCTTGAAAAAACACAGAGAATAAGCCACTGGACAGTGGTCTTGGCAATGATATTTTGGATATGACATCAAAAGTCCAGGGGAAAAACATCAAAAATAAACAAGTGTAACTATATCAAACTTGAAAGCTTCTGCACAGCAAAAGAAACAACCAACAAAATGAAAAGGCAACCCACAGAATGGGAGAAAATATTTGTAAGTCATTGATCACACAAGGGGACAGTATTTTAAAAACATAAGGTACTCATACAACTCAACAGAAAAGAACAATCCAATTAAAACATGGGCAAGTGATCTGATTAGATATGTTAACAAATTTGATATACAAATGGCTAACGGGTATATGTAAAATTGCTCTTCCTCACTAACCATCAAGAAAATATAAATCCAAACCATAACAAGATATTACCTCATACCTTAGGATGACTATCATCAAAAAGAGGAGAGATAAGTGTTGGCAAGGGTGTGGAGAGAAGAGAACCCTGCACACTGTTGCTTGGAATGGAAACTGGTAGAGGCATCATGAAAAAAAGAGTATGATAGTTCTTCAAAATATTCAAAATAGAACTACCTTAGGATCAGCAATCCCATTTCTTGGTATATATCTGAAGGAAATGAAATCAGAGTGCGGAATAGATAATCTGCTCTCTCATGTTCACTACAGCATTGTTCACAACACACAAGACATGGAAACCTCAATGTCCATAAATGAATGCATGAATAAAAAAGTGTGATGTATACACATATATACATACATGCACACACACACACACACACCTGGAATATTATTCAGTGTTAAAAAAGAAGGAAATCTTGCCACATGTGACAGTATGGATGAATCTAGAGGGCATTAAGCTAAGTGAAATAAGCTAGTCAGAGAAAGACAAATACTGTGTGATATCACTTATAAGTGGACTGTAAAACAAACACACAAAAAATGTTGAATGCATAGACAGTAGAATGCCAGGGGCTGAGGAGTGGGAAAAATGCTGAATTGTTCATCAAACAATAAAAACCTTCAGTTGTAAGATGAATAAGTTCTGAAAATATAATGTACAACATTATGGTAACTACAGTTAATAATACTGTATTTTACACCTGAAATTTACTGGGACAGTATATCTGAATTATTCTTACCAAAAAAAAAAAAAAAAAAAAAAAGAAAAGTAACTATATGAGGTGATAGAGGTGTTCATTAACTTGATGATGCAATTATTTCATAATGTATACATATACGAAATCAACACATTATGCGCTTTAAATATATACCATTTACTCGAATGACAACAGAAGAACAAAAAAGAAAGGAAAAGAAAAGAAATCTACACTAAACACTACACACCATGCAAGAGGGTCTTGAAAAGTAGCCAATGGTCCAGGTAAGTAGTCACCATGAAAATGCCTGCAATTCCACACACAAGCAGGCACAAGGAAATGTCAGCTAAAGGAAGGGAGCAAACCCTGTCATACACACAGAGGTGCCATGGAGCTGGACATGTTTACCGGGCCAGGGAGAGGGCAAGCAAGGTGACATCCATTAGCCTCACTGCAAGACTACTGACCTGGAATCCTTTCCTATGAGGGTTCAGTACAGAGGGTGTTGGGGCTGCAGGGGAGAGAAGAGGGCAGTGCAACACCCCAGCCCCAGCAACACAGCTGCTACCCAGAGAGCTGGGGAAGCAAGCAGTGCTCACAGTTCACCTGTGAGAAGAACAAAGCACCCCATAGGGAAGGGGGGTGAGGCAGGATACAGAGCCTAGTCTAGGTCACTGGGGAGGAAGAGGGCCTTACCCAGCGAGGATATGAGTGCAAAGTTCTCCAGCATCACATCGAGGTACAAGTGCCTCTGAGCTTCATCAAGGAACCTCCATTCCTCCCAGGAGAAGTACACAGCAACGTCTTCAAAAGTCATACTGTCCTGTCAAGATGGGGACAGATGAAACCATGCACTTTCTCTCTCAGAACCTACAGTCCATCACCTCACACATCTACTCCACACTCCTCCTCCTCCAGAGCTCCCCACCTCAGAGGAGATGCCAGGCCCTGCTGCCACTGATACCCACTCTCTCCTCAGGGTCCCGTTCATCATTGTGTTCAGCCCTCAGCAATAACAGGCAGAGGGACACATAGATGCCATCCAAGCTCTGGGCCTGGCGGGCAGGGCCCTATCCCTCCTGCCAAGCAATTCCCCTGCATCTCCCAAATTGTACCTACAAGACATAGCTACATGTGGGCTCATCCTTCACTCCTAAGTCCCCACTACCAGAGCCTTGGGGCCCTCAGCTCACTCTACCTATGTAAATGCAAATCATTCTGGAGACTCTCTCTCACATCTTCAGTCCCCACAGCTCTGCCACCTCCCTGCCCTACAATACAGGCATCTCCCTGCACTCACCCATGGACGTGGCACATGGCATCCAGAGGGTGCCTGACAAACTCAAACACAATCCAGTACCTTCCCAGTCCTCTGATGGATCCCACAGCCAGGGAAAGCCCTGAATGCTGCTTTGAAGGCCTCCCCACCTGCCTCTAATCCTTGATCAAGATCAGCCACCCAGAACCACATGGGAATTTCAGATCCCCATATGACCCTCTTCCACTTCTGTGATGCTTTTTCTGTCCCCTCAGCAGCCACAATCCTCCTCTCTCCATTCAATCTTCCTTAAAACACCAGCCCTACAGTCTCCCTGCCAGGCACAGTGACTCTCACAAATGACTACATTCACCCCAGATCTTACCCACCAGCAAGACTGAAACACTCCAGACCCCATCGAGGCTCACCACACAATTCCGGTGAACGTGAACAGTAGTGAATTAACAGGAGGCCCAGTCTCACCGTCAACTTGTCTCAATTACTCCTCTGCCTCTGAAGTCATCTCACACCCACTCATTCCATGGAAGCCTTGGCCACCTGCCAGGTCATCCTCTCTCCCACACCTTTCCATGACCATTTCCCTCCCACCTATGTTTCTCATACTCAGGAACCTCAACCAGAAGCTAAGCAACAGAACTGTTCCTCAGCAAACACCCTAGTCTTTCTGACTTGCTAACAGCATTATCACTATAGCCTACATTCCGTTTCCTAAATGGGATCCACAACTCCACCCTGGTCCTCACAATAGCCACCACTTTTGAGTCTCCATCCTGATCCCCTCCCCAGATTTCCAGACCTGCGTCTCCAGATGCCCACTTGATGCCTCCACTCACCGTTCTCTGAAACATCCCAGACTCTTAACGGCGCCAAAACAAAACTTCTGATAATCCCAAAGAAAATAAACATACCGACACGTTCCACAGCACACTTGATGAAGCTTCCATCCCTGCAGCGGCTACAACCTAAAACCCTGGAGTCTTCCCTAACCTCTCCCTCATCTTTGTTGTTGTTCATGCCATGGAGTCGATTCAGACTCCTAGCAACTCTGTGTACAGCAGAGGGGAACCCTGACCAGTATTTTGCGCGCCATCCAGTCCAATCGCGCCATTGTCTGATACCGTCGCGCTATAACAGACAACGTTCTGCTGCTATTCATAGGGTTTTCATGCCCAATTTTTTCAAAAATGAGTGGCCAGGTTCTTCTTCCTAATATGTCTTAATTTGGAAGCTCCACAGAAACCTGTTCACCATGGGTGACCCTGCTGGTATTTGAAGTACTGGTGGCATAGCTTTCAGCATCACACCAACAAGCAGCCACTACAGTATGACATCTGACAGAAACGTGGTGTGGTTCCATGACCAGGAAACAAACCAAGGCTGTGGCAGTGAGAGCGCCGAATCTTAACCGCTGGACCACCAGAGCTAGCCCTCCCTCAACTACAACATCCAAAAACTGACTTGGCCCTTCTTCAAAAATGGACCTAGAATCTAAACTTTTCTTCCACCTCCATGCCCACAACTCTGGTCCACCAACACATAAGGATTATAGCAGTAGCCTCCTCCTGGGCTCTGTGCCTCTTCCCTCAACCCCACAGTCTCTGCAGCCAGATGGAGCCTATCAAGACCTGGGTAAGACCACCTACTTCCTCTTACCCAAACCTCTCATTATATCCACAATAGACACCCAACTTCTCAGGCAGCCACATTAATGCCTCATTACTGACCACCCCACCCCCACCTCTTTGTTCTTCACAGAAAGAATGGAGTTCTGCTGTACTCAGCTTAGTCACACCTCCAACCTTTTGCACATAGTGGTGTCTGTTCTTGGGATAACCTTCCACACCTGTTTATACTGGTGGGTAAATATCGGAACACTTCTATGACCCTTGGCCTGCACTCAGGACACAGAGCTTGGGGGTATCCTCAGGGTCCTCGCACCTAAAATCTGTGAGTATAGCTGGTGAAGAGTCTCAAGATACCAAAATCCCAGGCTCCACACGGGTGGTGTCATTACCACTGAGGGACTGAGACGCTCTCTCCTTCCCTGCAGAGATTCCATAAATGCTTTTTCTAGTATCAGATCCTCTGGGAAGAGGCAGACAACCATGGCTGGGTTCCATGTGAGCAGGCCTCCCCTGTATCCCCCGCCCAGCGCTGGAATCTCAGTCCTCAGAGCTGCCTCTTACCACCTGTGACCTTGGACGAGGACTCAACTCCCTGTGCCACTGTCCTCATCACCCCCATTCCACTCTGTTCTCTCTCTAAGCAACTTTTGGAGAACTTTTTAAACCCTAATGCACACTGTGTCCCTCTTCTGTTCACAACCCTCCACGGCTCCCAAGGCCCTCGGATTGAAGGAACAGACCCTCAGCCTCCAGTCCAGGCGACACTCCGCCTCACACTCTGTTCACTCCACACAGAACACGGACCCCAGGTCCCCGACTCCTCCCGGCTCAGTCGCCCTCCACGCCTGTCTCCCGCCGGGCCCTCCGCCTGGGACCCTCTCCCCCACCCGTCACGCCGGCTCTCACAAACAGGCCCCACGAGCGCCTCCCCGTCCCGGACACCGGGGTCTGGGATGTAGGCCCGTGAGCGGCGCCCGCACGCAGGCCTCTAGGGCTGGGCTGGGCTGAGGGCGGGGAGGAAGCGGAGCACGAGCACTGACCTGAGCCGGTTCCCTCCGCGCGGCCGCCGCCATCGGACTCTGGGGGTGGAGCGGAGCCGGGAGCGGCGGGAGAGGAGGGGACCCGGGCACGGCGGTCCCTGTCCGGGCCCTGGCGCGGGTCCCCCGGGCGGCGTCGCTGAGCCTCTGTGCACCGAGGACAGCGCACCCTGCTTCTTGTCACCTAGATCTAAAACACCCCGCTCTGTAGCCAGAACTAACCCACATGACGTAAAAAGGTCGCCGTGACGAGCTTGCCGGAAGTCCCGCCCTGGCGCGTTGAGTTTACACGGAAATAATTTCACCCTCACCTTTCATTGGCTCATCCGGGCGCGGGCTCTTCCGGGTAATGCAGTTCCTAGAGTTCTAGAGACTGGGAAGGGCTTTCTGCATCCTGACTGACAAGAACACTGGCCACGCGAGACCCTGAGGAATGCTGGAAGTTGGTGGCCCCACCGAGAAATGGGCTTTGTGGCTGGTTAACGGCAGCAAAGAGGCATAATTTTAGACTTAGCGAAGGTTAGCCTGCTCCTACAGGATAAAACTAGTATTTGACGGATTTCCAAATCCACATGGCCACGTCAGTCAGTCTGGTATAATATGAGTCCACGCGTAGCCGGGCACATTATGTTATGGCTCTTCAAATGCATGTAGCCTGAGACAGTGGTCAGTTGTGTGAGTTCTATTAAGATGGGCTAGGAACAAGAGAAGAGACTCCATTCAGGGCCCATGACTGGGAAGAAAGAAGAGGGATATTCTGAATTAGGTGGACAAGCAGGAGTTCTACTACTGGTTCCCATAGAAAACCTCTATCCCGCATGCAGAGTCAGTGATTATGTCCTACCCGTTGAGCAACATTTTTATGCATATAATATTTCTAACGCCATATCCTAAGATACACTCAATTCCTTTCAGTGAACACAGATCTATCTCAAACGGAAAGCTTAACTAATGCTGTTTTGGTATGGCTCATTGGTTGCAACTCTCACACGTGTGCCAAGGGAGTATCTGAACACCAAGATAAACAGGACATCTTAAGCCCATGATCTCATGTCCTTGCTGCTAAGTGATTATCATTTTCCAGTGATTGCAGGTACAGTTCTTCATGGGGAATTGAGATCATCTCAACTTGAAGAAATGCAAGTTTCAGAAAACCATTAATGTTTATTTAGTTATTCAAAGATAGTGGCAGAAGTAGCTCTGGGGAAATAGAGGATGTTGAAGAAAATTAACATGAGAATTTTTGGTAGGGCTTTTATTCTTGAAAACATTAAGCAACACTAGCCTGGACAAAGAATTGAAATGGACATTGAGAATAGCCAAATGAGTAAAAATGAACAAGAATTTGAGGTGTTTCTTCACAGCTCTAACAAATGTTCATTGAGCAAATACTCAGTATCAGACACTGTTGTTGGAGGTGCCTGAGAGACCTGACAAAGACCCCTGCGCTCATGCAGCTTATATTCCTCTATGAACACAGAAAGGAAACTGGAAAGAAAAAGTATGCAATTATAGTGTAGGTTATTGTAACAGAAAAAAGTCCAAAAACTCACCTAAGTCAGATATGAGTGAGACTCAAGGTACAATTCATCCTGAGGCAAAATTCCTCTCCAGCTATGAACCTGAGAAGCCAAAAGTTAGGTGTTTCCAGAATACAATGGTGGGACAGGGAAGAAATAGAAATTTCCATTCCAAAAGGGGAAACAGGAAGTGAAGAAGGAGTGAGGGGTCCCAAGCAGGTCCAAAATCTACCAAGGCAAACTTCATGAGATCATGAAAGATCCTCTGGCTCAAGAATAATCCTCTTTGGCTCGATGCTCGGCCTTCCAGAGCCACTGGGGGCAGCAGTTCTGTCTCTGTTGCTGTGTTGGATGAGATCCCTGACCCCAGGGATCTGCCTGGTGGGAATCTCACTCCCAGGGCTCCAGTTGGTTCCACCTCTCCCCCAAGACATTGGAGGTGGTGGTGGAGGTGGGAGAAGTGGATGGATTTTATGTTTTTAAATAGGACCGCCCAAATTTTCTGATTGTATTGGTGAGAGAGAGAAAGGTAGGAGTCAGCAATGACTCCAAGATTTTTGGTGTTAGCAGCTGGAAGGATAGAAACTCCATCAACTGAGATGGGTATTCCACAGTGGGAGTAATTTTCAATAGGGATATCAGCAGTTTTCTTTTTGGC